CACTAGAACAAACACTTCTAGTATTGTGATGTGGAGGCAGGGGCGGAACCAGAACAGGCAAAGTATGAAGGAATCAGTATGTAGAAATAGCCGGCAGTACACAGAAATGTTGACAGTTGCAAGCTATGTATAGGACGTATCCACACATGGCTACCAGACGGTGCACTCTGAGTATTTCGCCAATTGTGTGCCTGTGATAGCAAATGGCAGCGCCTGCACAGCCGCAAGAGCTATATGTTACTCGGCAAACTTTTTTTTTGTTGAGGTGACACCGTTCACAAAAACGGTGTCACTTGTGGCAGTCGGCTGTGGTATGAGGACCTAGGATGCACTTGAAAAAGGAAACCGAGGACAACAGGCATTGCGGACTCCGATCCAGAGAATCGTAACACACATAACCGCGCAAAGGTTCAGTCGCTCTCCCTGAGTGGGCAGCGTGAACTACTCGCTTGCGTCAAGCGAGTAATTCTACTCGCTTGCCCAATCTTGCACTCGCTTGCCCAATCGGAACTGTACTCATCAAATTTGATATAGTGCTTGCACAATGCCAAATCAATCAAAAAAGAACCAAAGGAGAGAATGTGCAATGTGTTAGATTTTTTGCAGTGACAGCTAAGGGCAACAACAGACTTCAAGATTTCTGCCAGGTAAAGAAATGCGGGCCCACGAGCAGTGGTGTCTTTCAATACCAATTTTCTGCTGCTCCTGCGGTAAGGAACGTCCATTCCAGTCTCTCTATCATCTTGTTTGTCAAAATAAAACTTTGTTTCTGCAAGTAGGTCATCCGTGCTGACACTTACCCGAAACTCTGCTTGTCGAAATCTTTGTCAAGGTTTTCTCCATTGTTGCGACCGCGAGTAATTCCCGTTGCCTCCTTACGGAGGGCGACCGAGCCTTTTTGAATTCGTATGTTCGAACTCTAGGAAATTGCAAAAACCAGGAACCAGCAATGCCTGCTGTTCTCGGTCTTCATTTTCGAGTGCGACACTGTTTTCATGCGTGATGTCACCTGAAACGGTCAAAGATTCCCTGCGTAGTGTGGCCATTTCGTTGAGGGTGGCCCATGCAGCTGTGTGGACACTGCCATCTGCCCATCTGCTACCACGGACGCCATGATGATGATCACAAACAAAAAGTGCAACGCTTGCTAGTCGCGTGTGAATATGCCCCATTGCATCATACAATGTAAAAAGTGGTGTGCATCAGTAGCTAGGTAAATTTTAATAAATTTCTTGTTCGAAATCCGCACCTTCATGTGTGTATGTTCATAAGTAGTGGTGTTTATAGAGACTTTATGCAATTTCGAAACTTTAACTCATTTAATATATTTACTTGATTATCTGTATCATCTTCAGAGGCTGCGATTAGTGGTGAGCCAAGCCAAAGAAGCTCGTGCCCCAGTGTGTCTGAGATTGATGCAGGTACGACGTGAAATAATGCAGAGGCTGAAACTGTTATGCTCGTTAATCACATTTATTGCTTTCCAGAATCCAAGGATACTGCAAGCAGCTGCGGGGATGGAGAAGGTATAAGCATCAGTTTGATTTATTGAATATTTTTTGGAGTGTTGGGTTTCAGTAAATATTTGTCACAATTACTGGCTGTCAGTATATTTGTGTTTATTTAAAGCATAAATATGTTTCCCTAGATCAACATAATATGCCTTGTGCTTGTTACAGTCGCCATGTGCTCAATTGGTTTACAAATTTGCGGTTCTCAACCCACAATGAATGTTTGTTCCCATCAGAATCCGCACTGGGCGACTGCGTCGAGGAGCTACTCACCTCAGTTGCCCCTGCCTCTCCACAAGGCACTGCAGTTCTTGCCCGTGGTGCTAGGCTTTACAGAGTACTGAGTTGAAATGAGGCAGGCGGCTTTGGCATAGGCGATCATATGCCTTGTGCTTGTTACAATCGCCGTGAGCTCAACGGATTTACAAAGTCGCTGTCCTCAATCTACAATGAATGTTTGTCCCCACCATAATCCGCACTGGGTGACTGCGTCGAGGAGCCACTCTCCTCAGTTGCCACTGCCTCTCCACAAGGTACTGCAGTTCTCGCTTGTGCTGCTACGGTTTATTGGGTACTGAATTGAAATGAGCGAGACGGCTTTGGCATAGGCGAGCTTATCATGCCTAGTGCTTGTTACAGTCATCGTGTGCTCAGCTGGTTTACAAAGTCGCTGTTCTTAATCCACAATGAATGTTTGTCCCCACCAGAATCTGCAATGGGCGACTGCGTGGAGGAGCCACTCTCCTCGGTTGCCCCGCCTCCCCACAAGGTACTGCAGTTCTCGCTTGTGGTGCTAGGGTTTATAGGGTACTGAGTTGATATGAGCAATACGGCTTTGGCATAGGCGAGCTTATCATGCCTAGTGCTTGTTACAGTCATCGTGTGCTCAGCTGGTTTACAAAGTCACTGTTCTTAATCTACAATGAATGTTTGTCTCCACCAGAATCTGCACTGGGCGACTGCTTCGAGGAGCCACTCTCCTTGGTTGCCCCCGCCTCCCTACAAGGTACTGCAGTTCTTGCTTGTGGTGCTAGGGTTTATCGAGCACAGAGTTGAAATGAGGCAGACGGCTTTTGCATAGGCGAGCATATCATGCCTTGTGCTTGTTACAGTCATTGTGTGCTCAGCTGGTTTACAAAGTCGCTGTTCTTAATCCACAATGAATGTTTGTCCCCACCAGAATCTGCAATGGACGACTGCGTGGAGGAGCCACTCTCCTCGGTTGCCCCCGCCTCCCCACAAGGTACTGCAGTTCTTGCTTGTGGTGCTAGGGTTTATAGGGTACTGAGTTGATATGAGCAAGACGGCTTTGGCATAGGCGAGCTTATCATGCCTAGTGCTTGTTACAGTCATCGTGTGCTCAGCTGGTTTACAAAGTCGCTGTTCTTAAAGGGACCATGAAATGACTTTTTTACTTTTTCCAGATAACTTTTACATTAAACCGTCAATGTTCACTGAATGCCGAACAGGCATCCGTTTTCGTCTCGGTTTATTAACTTCTACACAAAAAATTAATGAAATATCGACTTTTTCTTGACCGCCAAACAAGCCGTGACGTACGCTATTTCCGGAACCGGAACTTCTCTCGGCAGTAGGAGATGGGAGCATTAGCGGCGACGAGTTGGGGTGCGCCGGTAGGTTTTACTGCGCCGATGTCACCGATGTATTTTCTGAATCGGCGCCTCTCATCGCCGCATCGCAGCTGAGCGAAATTCAACGAGATAGGTTGCGCTACAGCGACAGCATGGGACTAGTCCCATACACCGGTATGCCTGTTGGGAAGTGCAGCGAGTCTTCCGGTGAAGACTCCAGAAGTCAACCCAACTGTCATTGTTGGCAAAAGGCGGCCAGTGTCAGTCGTTTCAAAGCGACGTAGATGGAAACAAATTGCCGCGGCGTCTTTCGCGGTCTCGGAGATGCAGGAGCGAGCCGACGTTAAAAAAGATACATATGAACTACGAGTGTCAGCAAGAGCCACGTAAATACCTGTTAACACTCGGAGCGGACGCGCGCGTTTGATGGAAGTGCTGTATTCGCGCTGTTGGTAAGCGCTTCGGGACCGATCTTTTACGATTGCAACTCGATACTGACGCGACACTCGGCAAAGAAAGGTTGGACCGGTATTGCACGTATACCTCTCACGAACTGTTACAGCTCGACAGTGACGTGCAGTCTGTCAGGATAAAAATGGCATACCAATAACAAAGTGTACATACCGTGTTACGAAGGTAATCCATACAGCGTTTATTTCAGCTCTACATCACACAAAACAAGAAGAGAGAATCGACGAGGGTCCCTTTTCGACGAGTGTTCGTCAACACTGCCTCGGAAAACAAGGGTAAGAGATTGACCTCACCTCTTAACGTAAAATTGAGGTCAGCGATCAAACTATTATACGGAAAGGGTCCACAAGGGTACCCCACAAGGGTAGCGCGGGCATATTCCATTCAGCACGCCAGCCGGTCGCAGGCAGACAGACGGTCTTGCGACGAAGCAACGCTGCGCCGAGTCGGAGTGCCTGCTAGGCCTATATTTTGAGAGCTTCGTCGGAGCGCGATTCGCGGCTGTTGTCGCTCTTCTCGGGTGTTTGTGGATCCAGCGTTCTTGTTCGTCGTGGTCTGTTTTAAGTACATTTTTTTCTTGCTGCTTGAAGTCGGCACGCGCGAGATGAACACGTAGAAAAATAAACGTTCAGTCAGTCAGAGTTTTGAGAGGAAGGAAACCAAAGGAAATAACCGTTCTGAAGTCGGCCCTGCCAGCCCTGCCCTACTGCGCACGCGCAGTAGTTGCTTCGTTTACCACACGATAGATGGCGCTTGGCTCTCAGCATTATCAAATTTGGCAATTTTCGCCACACATCTCTAATTATGCTACAAAATGTGGGTCTGAATATTATTTAACAAAACTTTTAGGAAACATTCGCCGGCTATTTATTGTTTACGATCGCGGTGCTGGTGAGGTAGGCTCTTACCCAATAGGTGACGTGGATTCGGCTGACGTGCTCCATTTCTGCGGATGCATCGTAGTGAAAAGGCAGAGCTTTCCAAGGAAAGAAGTCGCAAAAGAGTCCAGTTTTCTTTTAAAAGTTCTATAGCAAATAATTTTTTTTGGCTCCCTAGTTTTGTGTTTTTGTGTTTCTTTTCACACCTTTTACGACGTGCGGTGGATGAAATTAGATTTTAAAATCATTTCATGGTCCCTTTAATCCACAATGAATGTTTGTCCCCACCAGAATCTGCAATGGGCGACTGCGTGGAGGAGCCACTCTCCTCGGTTGCCCCCGCCTCCCCACAAGGTACTGCAGTTCTCGCTTGTGGTGCTAGGGTTTATAGGGTACTGAGTTGATATGAGAACATGATTCTTATAGGCTCTCCATCAAATGGAGGTGCAGAAAACCCAGTCACTGAAGCTGCTTTAAATTCTCCTAATTATCCTCCGTTTTTTACAGGACCCAGCAAACGAGAAACCATGACACCTGAGCTTTGCAAGATGCTGCAGTCTCAAGACCTCAAGATTGCAAGGCTGCAGCAAGAGGTTTTGAGGCTGCAGGCAGAGAATGCCCGCCTCAATAGAGAAGTGAACGACCTGCTGTCCAGGCAGCTCACACTAAACATGATCTGTAAAAGCAAGAAAGACTGTGCGTTTTATACGGGCATGTCAGATTTTGAGATTTTTGAGGGGATTTACGACTACTTAGCGTATTATGCTTCCAGGATGGAGTATTGGGGCATTAACAGGAGGTCACCGGGCGAGAAAAAGGGTCGGTCGCGAGAGTTCGAGCCGAAAGAGGAATTTTTTATGGTGCTGGTTCGGCTTCGGACCGGAATGTCGGGAAAGGAAATTGCTCGGAATTTCGGCATTTCCGAGGGCCATTTCAGTAGGGTGTTTGCAGCTTGGATAAATTTTTTGCACCGCCAGTTGAAGGCCTTGACGCGTTTCCCGACGTGTGAAGAGCTGCAAGGCCACTTGCCTGCCGCTTTTTTGAAGTTCCCTGACACGCGCGTGATCTTGGACGGCACTGAAGTGCGCATTGAGAGGGCGTCATCACTAGCGGCCCAGCGGCAGACCTTTTCATCTTATAAACACTACAATACGTTCAAGGCAGTTGTTGGCTGTGCACCCGACGGTTGCATCTCTTTTGTTTCAGATCTGTGGGGAGGGTCTTTGTCTGACCGCGTGATAGTTGAGAAAAGTGGGCTCTTAGAACAGCTTCAACCAGGTGATGCCATCATGGTTGACAAAGGTTTTAAACTCAGTGACCTGCCACCGGGTGTGCGAGTGCACATTCCTTGCTTCCGGAAACCTGGAGAGCCGCAAATGGCTGAGAATGAGCTCTCGCACACCCGACATGTAGCAAGTGCTCGTGTCATTGTTGAGCGTGCGATTGGCATAATTAAACAGTTTCACATTCTCAACAGACCGTTCCCCATCACAATGATGGACCTAGCTGAGCAAACCTTTCAAGTTTTCTGCTACCTGAGCAACCTTCGTGGTCCTCTAATTAAGAACTAAAAACCAGCCGCTAAGAAAAAAAAGCCGCTAGTGATGACGCCCTCTCAATGCGCACTTCAGTGCCGTCCAAGTTCACTCCTTGACGAGATATGCTTGGGAGAAGAGCGTGTTGGTTTAAGTCATGGATGAAGAAAGAATAAAACAATTAAAACAGGGACAACACAACCACATGAAAGATGTGGTTGTGTTGTCCCTGTTTTAATTGTTTTATTCTTTCTTCATCCTTGACGAGATAGTAGCCTTCGTTGTCCGTCCCCCCTTTCTATGTATCTTCCTCATGTCTAATTACCGTTACCAACACGCTCGTTTTGTGCTTAAAAACCACTGGTCTGCTGTTTCAATAGACCTTTCTCTCAACTACCCAAACATCAACTCTGCCTCCTTGCACAGGAAATGCTGTCTCCATTTTAATCTCAATGAGCATCGTACCAGCGTACGGTCGTGTATCACTACTGCGTGATGCATGTTAAAGACCCCAGGCTAGCGTTTGCTCTGCGCTGGCTAAATTTCTCATCTACAGCTGGGAGCCTCGTTGCCCGTTGATGCAGACCAAGTTCTAAGCTGTATAAACATACACACAACCCAATTTTTTCGAAATGGTGTCTCTTCGTCTTGGTCAGCATCAGGCCGGATGTGATCTTGGTGACGATGCGCGATGACAGTGTCATAGTTCTCTTGTACCTGCAGCTTGTAAGTTCACTCCTTGACGAGATAGTAGCCTTTAGTCACTCGTTTCCCAGTCGGCTGTTCAACAGACAAACTTCGTCATTGACACGAAACTCCCATGCTCGAACCCTTTCTGTCATCTGAAGAAACTGATGTCTGGTCACGTTGGCTTCCACGGACGGCTTGACAGCATACAATCTTGTGTGGAGACATCTTTACAACAGCAAAATCGCTGGTGGCTCTCCAGTTGTTGAATGTGGAACGTTGCAGTCGCTTAGAAGAGACTTGCTAAAAGTTACCCGTGGCTGCTTGGGTGATGTGGTGCTGTCAACACCGGGCACATTCCGCTGCTCTTCAAGAATAGGAATGTTGAAATAAGTGGTTTTTGATGTACATATGGGTTTGTTTTGTTGCATTTGATGCTTAGTGTTGTTTTGCTGGTTGTGCAATAGGAAATTGAGAGTTATAATGATTATTGTCACTTTGTTTATCCTATATTCTGTAAAAATGATGAGAGTTCTGGTGTCAATAAACTGTTAGAAACCCGCACCTGAGGGATGTGATTACTGTGCCAAAGTGCTTACCCTGCCACATTTTTCCAAAATTTAAGGAATTTGTGCCAACAGTAAATATCACTTGATACTGAAAATATAATAGCTCAGGCCTCGCTACATGCCACATTGTTATAGTGGGCTTGTGCGAATTTTCATGAGTTTTGAGTATGTACTATTTGATTTCTTCTTTATTAAACGCTGAAAGTACTCTGAAGTTTTCCAATATTTCTCGTGTGCTTGATCTGTTCCGATAAGTTAGCTAGCTTTGTTGAGTGCGCCTCTCGCTGCGCACCGGTGTATTGGAGTGAAGCGACAACCACAAAAATGAACATCACAATGTTGCACATTTTGCTTTGCCGCAGTGCATCAGCGAGCTAAGGGAAGGCACTCTTCCAGTGCAGGTCTCAAATTTGAGATTTAACAAGGATACTCGAGTGTTGCCAAAAAAATATTTATATGGCCAGCTCTATAGGTTTATTTTATGTTACACTCTTGTTTAGTTATTACTGTGGCCGTCAAAAGACCCAACAGATGCCAGTAAAGAAGAAGCATCGCCGACAAGCTTCAGTGCGCCCTTTGCACGTGCGAAAGACCACTGGGGCATGAACACGCGCGTCCCGAGGCTGAAGCTCTGACCAACCGCCATTCTCATTCCAACTGATCCCGGCGCTCGGTCAGTTAGCTAGCTCCGAATTTATAATGATAATTAAAAATAGTTTCTATTTTAAGTAGCATGGAAGTCCACGTGTTTTCAGCGCTACATTACCTTTAAATTGCTTCATATCTGTTTGATCGCACAATGAGTGCAGTAGATTGAAACTAAATTAGCTGGAGCAGTGGATAAAAGTTCAGGAAGAACCTTATCAAGTTCATAGGGATTGTTTTTAGTATGCACACTCAAAATATGGGCACCTTAGCCATGACAATACATTGAAATGTTCTTGCACATTAAAACAAATCAACAAGCGTAAAGCTAAAATAAAGGGTTAATCAGCAAACCTGTGCCAGAAACAAAATAAAGAAAGAGCGTTGAGAGAAGCAGAAGCGAATGTCGGAGCGTTGGTTGGCTAGCGAGAGTGCGCGCTGTCATCGGGAGATTGAGTCGGCTAGTCTAGACGTAGGGCAACACCTTGCCCATCTCTTGTGCTCTACGTTGACATACATCATGTCGGCGAAAGTCTTGTTAAGCCGCTCCGTTAGCCCGCTGGTCTGCAGGTGGTAAGTAGTGGTTCGATGATGGCTGGTGTGGCTGAGACAAATGATACCTTGCGTCAGCTGCACGAAACACGCAGTTCCTTGGTCTGTAACTAAGATTTCAAACGCTGTGTGAAGGGGAACAATAGGCTCAACAAAAAAACTTGGCAACTTGAACCGCAGTCCTATACGAAAGGGCTTTCGTTTCAGCGTATCGCGTAAGATGACCTGTGGCAACGATTACCTATCGGTTCCCTGGGAACAACAATACCCTGCTAACACAAGGCATTGTTATTCCCAGGGTGGCCTCAGTCGTCTGAATGGCCACAGACGTCTCATTTATGTTTCGAAACAGATCATTAGCAGTTAGTTAGCTGCCCACACTGCTGACGCACGTTATTGTTATTCTCAGAGTGGCCTTGGTCGTATAAATGGCCACCGACGTTCGGTCTATGCTTCAAAACAGATCATTGGCAGTTAGAGTTAGCTGCCCCCAGTGCCGACGCACGTTATTGCTATTCTCAGAGCAGCCTCGATCGTGTGAATGGCCCCCGACAAAAACAGTATATGCTTCGAAACAGATCATTGGCAGTTAGAGTTAACTGCTCACAGTGCTGACACACGTTAGTTATTTTCAGAGGGGCCTCGGTCATGTGAATGACCACAGGCGCACCCCTTAGACATTGAAACAGAGCACTGGTACTGCAATTTCGCTCTCTGGTGTGCTAACACACGGTTTTGTTATTCCCAGAGGCCTCAGTCGCGTGAATGGCCACAGACGTCCCAGGTATGCTTCAAAGCAGAGCACTGGCAGTGATCTGTTGTCGTTTTCCTTAGAAAAAAAAGAGCTTATTTGCAATTAAAATTCTATTTGTTGCGTAGCGAAGATGTTTAGACAGTGGGAAGGGCCAATATGGCATCTGATGTCTTTGCCATAGATGGGCTGCAAACATTTGTTGTCGCATAGTTGAAATCTACACTGGTGACTCATAGCACAGTGCAATGTATAGACCAGCTTAGACATTATCGCAACAAAAATAAAAAGTTTGTCTGGTGGCTGCATATCGAAATGCTATACGGCAACCAGCAGAGAAGCATTAAAACATGAGACACGGGAGGTCAGTGGTGGACACGAAAAACAATCCGATTTTAAAGCATATGAGTGGTCCTTAATAGGACCGTTTTGTGTTCCGAGATGTTCCATGCTTTCTCCATGATGGTGGCGGTAGGCTTCGTCAAGGGGCTCGACACCAGACAGGTCACTCTTGGATGGGGTGTCCTCTCCATCCAGCTGAATGACGATGGGCTGGATGTGGGCACTTGTGGCACCGCCTCGTCGGAACGTTGCTTTAGTGTCAATAACGTGCCTCACAGCATTATACCAATTGTCAGTGGTGACCTTGCCAACTTCTTCGTTGAGGAGTGTCCCCACGTCGACGATCTTGAACGTTGTGTTTCGGGCAGCAACGCCGTTCTTGATCTGGGCCCATATCAGTTCAATGGGGTTGAACTCGCAGTGATACGGTGGGAGCCTAAACACAGTGCAGCCAGCCGTCTCGGCAGCAGTGTCCACACAATACTTTAGGTGCTGTGGCTTCACCAAGGCCACAATGTCGAGCAGCTGCTTCTTCAGCATCTTGGGGTGCCATGAAATTTTTTTTAGACGTCAGCCACTGTCGGATGCTGTCCTTGCGGGAACTCGTCGTCGGCACTGCTTGCAACCGCCGTGAATGGTAAGAAGCGTTGTCCATGACGATAATGCTTCCTGTCGGCAGTTAGTTGAGGACACCATCGAACCACTTCTCGAAGCGGGTGCCATCCATTTCCTCGTGGTAATCGCCGGTCTTTTGTCCACGGAACACGTCCAGGCAGTCGTCGACGAAGCCTTCATTGCTGCCGATGTGGGTGACCAATAAGACGCCGGCCCTTACCCGATGGCTGCTTCAGGCCAGTTGAGAGACCACGCATGAAAGCGTCGTGAAACGAGGATACGGTCGTGTCTACCCACACCCTTGAGACGGTGTGCCCTGCCGTCACCCACGTCTCGTCCAAGGAGAAGATCCTCCAACCATCTTGTCGGTGACGTGCAATCTCATGCAGGTACTTCTGCTGCCAGGCGACGATGTCCTCTCGTTCAATCAGCCACGAGTTTCATTCCGTGCATCTCGTCAGTACCCCCCCCCCAATACACACACACATGAGCCGCAGATCACCTCAGCTTTCTAAAACTCTTCTTCAATCCCTCACCGTCATGGACAACGTAGAATCCAGCGAGCCACTGCTTGTAGGACACATACTTCTTGGTAAGTGTACCTAGTCGCCTAAGGCGCCGTGTCAACATTTCTGGGAAAAGGGCGTGTTTAGAGAAGTGCAGAAGCCCTGGTAGTACTTCTTCATCAAAGAACTTCTCATCAAAGTCTATCGTCTCGATATGCGTCATCCCTTTAGACTCTGTGTCCTCCGGGTCCTCTGTCCAGATGACAAAGTGGCACCACTTGTGCCCAGTCACCGCCATTTGACCTTGCACTTGGAAGAAGTATGGATGCTTCCTCTTCAGTCGCACCTCAAGTCCAACAACTTCGCAGCAGAAGTTTTTCAGCTTGGCGGCTTCCAGGACCGTCTTTCCTTTCTGCGAAAGGGGACACTTTACCTCAAGAAGGCCCTCGTCACCAGCTACCGTGACGATTCTGTCGGGTGAGGCACCAATGAAATTGTACTGTGGGTGCAAATGCAGTCCGGTTCCGCGTACTTCAACTTCAATGTCGGCCAACGTCAAGAGCTGCACATAGGAGGCCACAGCGTCTGGTTCGTGCTCCCTCCCATACGTCATCGCCTCACTCACAGCGCCCGGCTTGGGGTAAAGCATCCGCTTGAGCAAGTAGTCTGGCTTTTTACAGCGCACTGCAGCTGCGAACTGCGATGCAGTTACGCGACCCACTCTTTCTTTGTGCCACCTTGGGTTGTCAGCCTGCCCTACAGTGTCTGCAGTGATCTGTCCCCTCTCTTGACACGACAACACTGGAAGCGAAGCCATGTGCGCCTGCACGGTGTCTGAAGCAGAAGTTGCCCAGAGGTCCTCGTCGTCGCAGATGGGCAACGGTGGCCTGGGCGGCACTGCCTGGCAGGCACCACCAGCGTACCTCAGCCAGAGCATGTCAGGAGTTGCCGCAGTCAGTCTTGCTTTCAGCCTTTCAAGGTTTCTGGATGCGGATGAGGATGAGGCAGGAGAAACTGACTCGCAGGGGTCAAACGATCGCTTTCGCTTGACAGATCCGGGCTTGTTGATGACGAACTTGCGGAACGTGAGGTCCGTCAGGGGCATCAGAGCGGCAGGCTTCTTTGCTGAAAAGACAGTTATTGCTCTTGTTAATTCAAACTGCATTGAAATATTAATTAATATGGCTTTTATTTTAGTATTTAATCTGCATGACTAACATTTTCAATGAACTATCAGCAGGGCTTGAGTGCAGCTCTTTGCATTTGCTTCAATGCCACAGCTCTGCATTTGCTTCACAATCAACCAAATGATATGACTAAAAGCCAACCTGTATTTTACACTAACGCCTGCCTTAGTTCGAACAATCTGTACGATGACAGCCGATTCTATAAAATGTCAAACCCGAGTCTTGTATAACTGCTTGATTGACCCCGTGTCGCGATTCTCAGGCTTCACCACACATGTTTCAACACAGGTGTATGCGCCAGTGGTCTAGTGGTAGTGAATACAAACCTTCTGATGGCACAATCCAAGCACAGGGGACGTCGGTGCAGGAGGTCTGGTTCTTGCTGCAGCTTTCTTCCGCAGAGAGAAGCACAACCGCAACATGCTGGCAGCTCTGGCTCCGGCTAAAAGTAAAGAGAAATATATATTGGCATAAACATATTTCTACCACTTTCCTTGGCACAGATGAGTGAAGAGACCTATACTTGACTCATCTTGTAAGTTGTAAACAGCACTCTTAAAACGAGCAACGTACACCTGGAGTAATCAGCTGATCCAAGACGCACTGGAAGCTATTTTCCAGTAGGTAGGGGCAAATTATTTAGGGGGGCGGGCTTTGCCGCCTTGCCTTCTAAGGTTTTCGGGTGCGTAGTTCACAGGGAGGGAGGGAAGGCGGAGTTGGCGTACTACAGTGCTACGCGCTTCGAGTAGGCCCGCAGCATGGGGACAACTGAACCTGAGCCTAACCCAAACCCCGTCCCACACCTCCTCTCTTCCCCTGTGAACCTCTCAACCGAAAACTAAACAAAATATTTTTATGTGAAATACAACTCCGCCCGCCCGCCTCGCTCACTCCAAGAAACCCTCAAGACAAACCACGCCAGGCGGCAAAGCGCGCTCCACAGGATCACCGCCCGACAAGTACTGCAGCTACGGCACTTCGCGCGAAGCTTTTGCTGTTACTCTTTTAGATGGGCATCTTTGTACTAAAGGAAGACTTAGCATCTGGATCGATAACATCCTTCACATTGAAAATCGAAGGAGTTTCTAGTCAAAATCCGGCTTCCGTAAATCGGCAGCTCGACGCAGTCGATTTTAGCCGCGGGCGCAGTAAGTTTTGATATTAATACCGCTATCGCCCACCGTTAAAACACGAAAGACAGAAGACAGAAGAAAATAAACAAAACATTCAACTCACCCCGCGACGCATTCGCATGTGCCACCCTCGATGACGCCGGTCTCCCTACTGAACCACGCTGTTGCGGTGTACGGGACTTTCTTCATCGAAGGAAGAACGACGGCTCGCACAAGACACATGTTCGAGTCCTTGGACCAGTTCCACATCACGTGTCGGACGTAACCTTCTTCTTTGAAGAACCATCTTCGATGCGCTTGCCTCAACGAACTGTCCTTTTTGAGGTAGCTCCATACGCGGTCCTGGGTGAGGTTCGTACGGTCCGGAGGATGACGTACCCAGTGGTCCGCGTCAAACGCGAACGGGATGTTCTCATCTCGAGACATCGCGACTCAAAATGCTTCGAAAAGCAGCGAGTGTACCCAAAAAGAAAACGAACCGGTAGCACACAAGAAGCCTAACGTGCACGTTGTTTTCTCTACAGATACTCTCCAACCCAGTGCGCCTCAGGTTCGCCCATCGCCCCATAGGTGGCAGCACATATTCGCCAAAAGGTCCGTTGGTAGACCACTCCACCTGTAATGGAGAGGTCCCGGGTTCGATACCCGGACCAGGCGGATTTTTTCGGTCGCTCACCAGTCACCTAGCTGTGTTTGGAGATTTATGTTTGTCCTTTGTCCCTCTTGTTCCCCTTCTCCGGGGATTATTTTCATCATTCTTGTCCAGCTCGCTTGCACCTTTGCATTTAATTGCATTATAATTACAAGAGATCTTTGTTGCGCGCCCTTCCCCTCCTACCAACCCCCTACCCCGCATTCTTGCTCACGCGGGGGGTTGGGCAGATGGGGCAGAGAGGGTGTGCCGGGAAAAAGGGAAGGGGTCTTTGTTTGAAAAGGACCGGTTTTTAGTCGTCAGAACTTGAAGCTGGTCGTCTCCGATCATTGCGGGATCCGGTTTGGATTCGCGGTGCTGCAACACTGCACTTGATCTGTTCTGAAGTCACAAGACATGGGAACTCGATTAAGGTATGTCGAAGTACTTCTGTTTGTTGTATATTCATTAACCGCTGCTTATTTTGTTATGCAGCTCTACCGATGGCTTTTTCTTTTTTTTTTTTGTTTCGCAGACCCTGGCAGGATCGCTTTACCATAAAGGCGTGGTCAGACATGCAACAAAGAGCTACAGACATAGCGCTGACCTAGCGCTAAGCGCGTGCTGATAGGAGCTTTCACCAGCTTTGTATCGCACCGTCAAAACTTTCTCATGGCAGCCGAAAAGCAGCGCTATTTCAGCGCTTCGCTGCGTGTGAGAGCCGGCCTTACCGCTCATTCACACTAGAAGCGGATTCGCGTTCGCAACCGCTTTGCGAACGCGGATCCGCTTCGAGTGTGAATGAGCGGTTAATGGAGACATTTATTCGATTGTACTGATTTTTGAGTTGATGGCGGGAGCTCGTTTCGTCACTTTGAAGCATAGTTTGAGCAAACACACGCTGGGTCTGTAATTCGCAGCGAACGGTCTATTAAGAATATAATATTGCGGTGGTCTGCTTTCAACAGATCGCATGTTAGATGTGAACCACTGTAGCACTTTTGTAGCCTATTTGTTATTTTATTATCTGTGGGTTATATCTCATACTTTTGTTGAGCGATCGGGTATTTCACTATGCCCCTGTTGCTAATAATTCAAATTCCTCGCAAACAGGCAAGAAGCTGCCGGTGCCCCAATAAACGGTGCTTGGACCATGACCGGTTTGGACAGCCGTCCCAGCGTTCAAGCCATCGTCGACGCAAGCGCACTCTTCAGAATGTGGCCTTATCGTGGAGTCTACCGCTCAGGAACTTCGACTTCAGTCATCCTTGAATGCGATCTGTATCTACGAGGCAATAAAGCTACGTTTAACCTGAACTGCACAATTTCGTTTCGGAGACTCGTGGCTCGGGGCCACATGTAAAGGATAAACCTTTAGACCCAGGGGTCTAAATCCAAGGGCGCAACGTTTAGACCCAGGGGTCCAAGTGCAAGGGCCTAACAGTTCGTCCTCGGGGTTCAATTCAACCGGTGTAACAGTTGGTCCCAGGGGACCTAGTGCAAGGGCCTAACAGTTGGTCCTCGAGGTGCAATCGAAACGGTGTAACAGTTAGTCCCAACGGTGCTAGTGCGAGAGACTAATGGAGGGGCCACTGTTACTCCCCTTCCCGTTAGTCCCCGGGGGGACTAATGGTTGTGGCAACGCACTTGCTCCCCTCGGGGACTAAGTCGCGCTCCCCTTTTTCTTGTGATGAATTCCACGCGCAGATCTCGAGCGCTCCAAAAGCGCTCCATTTGGAGCGCGCATATTCCGCTCGCAGATCTGGCTCGAGTTGGTCATCTTCCGCTCGTAGATCTCTGGCAGCGCCCGCTCCACGGAGCGCCCCAAACCCCGCCGAACTTGCTCTGCGGGATTTCACAGATCTCTCCGGAAGTTGACAGAGCGGCCCACGTGATTTCCGTCTAAATTGGCAGTGCGCATGCGCGGCGAGGTTGGAGAGGTCGGCGGGCCGGTCGGGCCGTGGAGGTGGATCTGTGCGGGTGCGTCGGTTGTTTACGCGGGATTGTGACGGCTCGAACGCTTCTACCTCGCGTAGATCAGGGATACAACGCCGGGACTGTGGAGCGGGCTAAATCGTAAGCGCTAACATCTGTGATCGTGAGAGGAAGAACGACAGAAAAGCCGGAGGCAGACGCAAGGTTAGGCCTATTCATTCTGCAGCCAATTATTGTTTACATTTTTACACTGCATTCCGCCGGCGTTTTCCCGTGAAATAAAGCAAGAAGTGATTAGGCAACGACCGCGCAAGGGATGGTTTGTTACCTCTGTGTTTATTAAAGGCGTACACGAAATCTGAACTCCACCGCTGGCAATCGCTGTCCGTGCCCCGTCGCTTCGAGGCGGCCGAAAGGTATGTGACGGTGCCGAACGCGGACGTATTCGTGATTTGTGACATGGGCGCCGTGGTACGTATAATTTCGCCCGGCCTGCGTCGCGTGTTATTTCTGCAGCTAAGCAGTGACAGTCGTCACTGGTCGTCGGAAAGATCGGTCGGCTGAGGCGTTGGTGGGCTTGTCAAGTTCGAGCAGCGGCCATTTTGAACGGCGGAAGGGGAAGCGGTGGGGAGGGGTGTGGGGGAGGTCGCTCCAAAAATGCAAGTTTATCTTCCCCTCGTCGATTCGGAGCGGGTCCCACGGAGCGGAATTTCGCCTCCCTCGCGGATTTTGGAAAGCGCTCCGGATCTACGAGTGGAATTCACCATCAGAGTGTACTTTCTGCCGAGGGGAAGTTGGTTTCTTTACTATTTCGTGCCTCGGTTGTTTTTGCGTAATTCTTTCTGGGTTAGTATCCAAATATGTTCCTGGTATTCTCTATACATTTCTCGTTTACCCTCTTTTTGAGTCACGTTGATAACAAACCCAGAAAATAGAATTTAAAAAACAACAACAGTGCATTACATCTTGGAACAAGTAAAAGAATATAGAAAAATCGAAACAAGAATGATAGACAGTCTTGATGAAAACGTGCTTTTCCCACTGGTTAGACGGGATCAAAACGATTTTCAACCAGATACCGAAAGTTCGGCGATTACAATGGCCGTGCTCGCGTAGAAATGGTCCATAAATAGCCAGAGCTTAGCTCTTTGTTGCGAATGAATACCCGAGAGCAACATCTCAAGTAATACTAATTTTCGCCCTTGAACGCGCTCCCCAATATATATAGCGTCCTCTCCCATAGGGGAGACGAGACCTGCTCTCAGCAGCATGACCGAAGGGGATCCTCATAACAGGTAACTCGTCCTTTAACATTAAATGATACGGTGAATTTGAGGTATGATGGCGAGCACTATACTGGCCTCAAAACTGCGATGAGAAAAACAAGAATAAATATGGCGAATCTCGTTGAACATTTATCTAATGCGCGAAATTAATTCCAAAAAACCTGTGTCTTCTTCGAGGTCGCATTTGCTCTCAGTCGTTCGATGTGCAGTATGCTGCGCATGCCCAATCTTTATCAAGAGTGATAATTCAAATACATGTATATAAAAATAGGCCATCTTTTTCTGACACCAGATTTCCGTCATTCTGTTCTCGAACCACGTCAGGGTTTGTAGGATTTCAGTAGTTTAAGTAAAGCTTTGGGCATAAAAATTTTGAAAGACGCGTTGCTTATTGCGTTAACTCAAAACCCGTTTTGATTCGTTCTTCAGAATTATTATCGGCTAATACGGACATTTTATTGGCTTCCAATTAATGATAAGACTCTGTAGAGTCGCCCTGCGCCCTTTAAGCTTTTCGTGACAGTAACGCGTATTCAACTAACCTATATTCCTGGGCGTTTGGTGACATGGACTGAAAAGTGGTTCCATATTCTATCAACCCAGTATTTAAGAAATAACTGGTGCACCAGAAAACAGAATTCAAGAATTTCCAGGATTAAACAGTGAGCGTGTTAGGATGCAGACGAAAGAAGAGCCCTCGGAAAGAGGTCTGGAGCAAAAAACATTTGGCACCAACCTTTATCTCAAAACTCCTGTCATTCATTTAACAGAGTATTGAAGTTGCTATTATTTAAAAATATATCGAAGGCATTAAACCGTCTTTTCATAAAGTGAAGAAGGTTCTTCTTCACTTTATTTCTCTTCTTCTCTTTACACTAATTTCCCCTCGAAACTTGGCGGGAAAACTAAATTGGTGTACAGATCACGAGACGTCAATTTTCCTACTAGATTTAGCGGAAAAATTGCATTAATGAAAGTGCCCCATGTATGTATTCGGGGTACATGACGTCAATTTCCCGCCAAATTTAGCGGGAAAACTGAAGGTGTTTAGGTCAAATTACATCGATTTCACAGCCAAATTTAGTGGAGAAACTGAGCATTGGTGTTTAAGTCACGTAACGTCACATCACGTGATATCGATTTACCCGCCGATTGATATGGGGGAACTTAATTGATGTAAAGATCACATGACGTCTAGTTCGTGATATCAATTACGTCATGTGGCCTAAAGAGCAATTCAGTTTTCCCGCTAAAAATAGCGGGAAATACGTGAACGGAGAGGTGAGCGGAAGGACAAAATGTAGGGATTAAAGAATGCTGTTAAATAACAAAAAACTCGTGATTAAAAAAAAAAAAACAATAGGTAAAACACGTACGCTGGGGGAGCCAATAAAGGT